CGCCCAGCCACCAACTGTCGTCGGACTTTAGCCTGACCACCGAGAAGCTCCGGACTTCCACCTGGCTTCCAATTATTATTGAACTTCCACCCAATAATGACATTTCCAACCTCCATCATCTCTGACATCCGTCACCAAACAACGGTCTTTAAGACCTCCGTCGCCAACTTATAATGGTCATTTCGACCTCCGTCGCCAGACAACGGTCTTTACGACTTCTATCGCCTGATGATTATGATCCTTCTGACCTCCATCATCATACAACAGTCTTTACGACCTCCATCGCCCGCTGACTATGGTCCTTCCAACTACCTTCACCCCATTACAATCTATCCGACCTTCGTCGCCTGTCGACTATGATCCTTCCAACCTCTGTCATCAAACAACAATCTTTATGACCTATGTAGCCCACGAACTGTCATCCTTTCGACCACCATCACCCGAATACGGTCTTTCTAACCTCTGTCGCCAGCCGACTATGGTACCGCCGACCGAACAAAACATATCAATTCTAATTATTCCAATTTACACCATGTAATGCATATTGTATGATGAACATTTGCTACATCAAACCAAGGCCTTCCCCCTAAGGAAGCACATCATTTGTAATTTGTTGCAAATACTAGTGGATTCTTTCAAACTGGGCCAAGCCCAATGGTTTTTCCCCCTTTTAGGGGTTTTCCAAGTAAAAAACTCTGGTGTCTCTTATGGACGCTACACTATTTCGTTTATCTGATTGTATGTTGGATCTTCGTACAAAGCTAAGACGTTAAATTTATATTTCTCTACAGCCGTGAATATTCAAGGACCCAACAATTATTAATATACAAACCATTTGTTCCTCCTCACTCAAGTTTCAAGAAGCTAAGAGTGCGTTCGAGTGTGTGATCGGACACAGGTAGAGAGAGCTATCTGGCATGGGATCGACAATGGGCTGGTTCATGAGAGGGAGGTAAGACCTGTGCGGCTCTTTGATTGGTGGAAGCAAGAGATGAAGCAACCAATGTGGATCGTGATTGGATTCATACGCACAGGGGGTCGCACTCGAGTTCGCCCGCTCACAGGAAAGCGGAGGTCGGGTTCTTGCTCGTGCATGGAGGCATTGGTGGATATCAGAAGATCTGTGTGCGAAATTGTAGAGAGAAGGGATTGAAAGAACGCATGATTGTGCGTGGACGGCTCAACTGAGCTGTTCATGTGGGTATCATGCTCGGTCGTTGAAGATAGACAGAACCGAGCAGGCTTTGCCTGATTCGTCTATGACAGAAGCAGGAGGTGGGGCGTCACCTTTCGTATGTGAATGAGAGCCAAAAGTCGAAGTGGAATTTGTAGATCGCAAGAACGAGAGAGTCGGTAGTCAAATTGTCAAATCAACCTCAATGCACGTAAGTCATTTTTTTGTTTCCTCGTCATTTTATATAAACTGAATTGGTATTTACTTTAGCCACAGCAAAGAGAAGTGCGAATGTCATGGGGACGTGCATGTCCACCCCATTTCTTCTTTTTTGTTCTCTTCCATTTTGTTATTCTCATTTCATATATTTTTTATTTTTAGATTTCAACATTATTATCAGCTTGTTCATGTTCGTTTGAGCTTGATTCGAGTTTTTATGTTTGTTTTTAACCTTGGTTCGTTTAAACTGATGGATATTCATGTTTTGTTTGTGTTTGGTTCGTATTTGGTTCATGTTTAATTTATTTCATGCTTATCGAGCTTTAAACAAAATGAGTCTTATCAAACTTTGTCGAGCCTACAAACAAACATGTTTGCGAACATTTCTAGCGATTATTTTGAACTACCAAACGAGCTTGTTCACGAACATATATAGTAAGTGTATTTGAGCTACTAAACGAGCATGTTCACGAACACATCTAGTGAGTGTTTTCGAACTACCAAAGGAGCCCATTCACAAATAAAAAAGTTATAATTCTACTTATAAGAAAGCTTGTTCATGAACAATTTGAACAAACAAAATTGATGATAATAAACAATCTTCCTTTAGGAAAAAAAGAAAGATAATGTAAAAAATGATCAATATATCCACAAGAAGTAATTCCATAAATATGGTTAAGCAAAAACATTAAATGAAATAAATTTAAAATTCATAACCCCTCAAGAAGTAATTTAACAAATATAATTAAGTAGAATCAAACACAACAAATTTTTTAACAGCTCTTTATCACTTACAAAAAAAGTGGAAGAAATCCATACGCAAGATCATATAATTGTGGATAAAAGCAGTTCAATTCTTTAACATAAAATGTTTGGCATCCAATATTAGGCATGATTTAAACAAGATTTAACATATATCCAACTAAACAAGATTTTGATTACTTTAAATCTTTTTGTTTTGAAAAAAATTAAAGCCTAAAATAAATAGCCAAATGATTTATGAAAACTTAGCAAGATTTTATAGTTGGTATGCTCAATAATTTTTAAGATTTAATCCTCTCAGAGATATACTAAATCTAAATTTATAAAATTTACTAAATCCTACTTTGTAGCAAGCAAAAATGTTGCATTCTTTATCCATATAAAATAACTTTTCACCCACCTATTAAATGAATAAAAAGGCCAATAGACACCAAAGAAGATAATTAAGGAAAAGAACTGTAACTTCTTATGGGCCCTATATAGGGCTGTAAACGAATCAAACCGACCCGAGATTCAACATGTTTGAGCTCGAGCTTGGCTCGATAAGATTCGAGTTTGTTTTCTCCCTATTCAAGATTGAGCTCATTTTAAAAACACCTATTCGAACTCCAGCTCGTGTTCATGTTTGAGCTTGGTTCATTTTAGGCTAGTCAAGCCTATTAACGAGTCTCTCGTTTAACAAATCGAGCCTATTAACGAGCTTCTCTCGTTTAACAAAATAAAATGACTTAATCGAGCAACTTGCCAACCCATCCTCCATCGCCTTCACGTTGTTTGCTAAACAACAAATGCTCTATACATATTTTTACTTTTATTTAGCAAAACCAAATCACTCAAAAGCGATGTGGGACAAACTTCCCACTTCTTTTTGGTTTTCTTGATGTGTTACATGGAGGAGAGAGAAGAGGGCAAGATATACAAAAACTTGATGTGTGCCATGGATCAGATGTCATTTGGATGGTTTTGTGTAGCATCGTGCATGCCAACAATCGCTTTCATCACTCGATCAAGCCGATTTTCATGCGAACGATGCTTCTCTGATAAGTTAAACGTCGAGGACATGTCGGTGCATTCCGTTTTGCAATCGGGCAATATTTTTGAGTGATTTTGTGCGCAATCGACGCATTTCAATGCTTGTCTTGAGCAGCATCAACTCAGTTAATCATGATTTATGTTGTGTTTGATGGCATCAAATTTGGCATATTAATGGTGGTTATCATCAATATGCATCCAAATCTTCTTAAACTAAGCATAAAAAAGCCTCCAAACAAGCTCAAATACACCCCAAAATAATTATAACCTGCCATCTAGCATATGAAGGTCCGAAATACTCCATAAATTGGATGCCACATATCCATCTTTATAGTGCAGCTCAACAACTTCAAGTATGACTCAATCCAAAATATGTTGTTTACACGGTACAAGCCTAATAAGTGTTGCGTAATTTGTGAATTGATTTATTTTAATGACTTGATGTGGCCTCTCTCTTTCTGCTAGCTCAAATATCTCGCCAAGTGACCTTTGTTTCACCATTAATGTTTAAATTCAATGCTAGAATGACTTTACACATGCTCTAACCATTTTTATTACAAAAGCATGTGATCTTCTTTAAAACCCACATGACACTTCCTTCGCAATATGATTCAAACTGAACTTCATAGAGTGGCTTACTCAAATAATGGCTCAATATCTTGGATTATTAAATATAATGCAAAATATCGAACAACTCTGGAATGGTCTCCTTATTTAAAGTGAGCGCTCAATTAACTAATCAAATAAATTATGAAATAGATACAAGGGATATTTGTTCCTATGCCAAATGCTTGTCTGATGTCTCAATCTTCTCATTTATTTGCATAAAATCACTTCACTAGTTCAAGAAGAACTTGGGCTTTCTATGATGAAATTTTAGCCTACTTTATACCAACCTTAAGATTTTTCTGTCTCTCTCATAGTTTTTTCTTCTTGACTCCACACTCAATTTGAAATCTCAAGATATAATATGGAACTTTTAATCATTTCATTAGGAACGAAAGCTTCAGTTTTTGGATTACAAATTTTTTATTTAACAGGATTTTTTCTTTGGAATCATTTTCTCTATGGTTATAACTATGCCTCTTCAATCACTGTCTTTGAAAAATATAAGATATATACGAGTAATTTTTCATTTAGCTCCCACTCACTGTTGAACAATTTTGATTAACAGAAATTACGCTAGAAATTTGATGATACCAGCCGCAAAATTAAGTTTATTGAGTGACATGGCTAGTTCAGCAAATACAGCATCATGCTATCTGCAACCTGAGGATAATTGCTCCAACTAATAGTTTTGTTTAAATAATCATGTATTAAAATACTACAGTGGACGAGCAACTAGCCCCCTATGAGAAGGGTTACATGTATGCTTCTTCCAAAAGTTAGCACATGAAAATGCCTTGCAGTGGTGTCAGAAGATTGATTAAACTTTAATAATATATACATTTCAATCTAAACAAGAGGAAATATGATCAAGTAAAAAGGAATTACTATGTGAGAAAGATCTCTCTAGTAAGTAATTACATTAACAAGGTAATGGCTAGCTGGTTTTTAAGATTGCAGGACATACTAAATGACTTGATCATCTAATAACCGACAACGTATAAATGAAAATTATCAAAAAAAAAAAAAGTATTTCAGTCTTTTAAGATTAATTTATTTTCCAGAATTCTCTCATAAAATATGCAAGCAGATACTATGATATTATCACCTGACGAAATGCACAACATTCAAATCTGTAATGAAGAACAACCCAGAAAATTTTTCAAAATAGAGTGCAAACACTAGGACGTGGTTTGCAAGAAAATACCGTGAAAATGAAGTTGTATCCCATTTCAAGAACTATCCTCAAGAAATCAATCCGTCTCCACATCATCTTCAAGTATCCCTCAGTCATAAAGTTTTCTTGGACCGAAAAATCAACCCCGTTGGTTGCAAGAGCAAAGCAATGAGCGTGTATGGCCCTGCACCGGAGATATGCCTTCTTGTCAAATGCAATTATCACCAAGTGGTCAAGTAGCGAACGAGTGTCGTTGCCAATCTGAAAACTTTCAAGGAATAGATCAATGATAGTGCCATTAGAAGCCCATGCAGCATTCAAAGTGGTTAAGATCACGGTATTATCTTCCATTGCAGATGCTTTCAGAACCCGAGCCAGCCTCTCCTTATCCTAACAAGTTTAATAGATTCACATTATACAATTTATTTCCATAGTTTTTGTCTACAGAATAATTTTATAAAGCCGTTGCAGGACAATCAAATGAAGACCAAGAAAGCCAATTATAAAATTACAAACAGAAAAAATTAATTAGTAATCTTCATTAATTATGTAAACATGTAATTGATTCAAGTATTTCAATAATTATGAAAGTTAATTTAAGTATATAAATGAAGCCAAATAATTGGATGCATTAAAAGAGATGTTTCATCATTTCAAAAGTGAAGAAGGTTACATATCATGAAGAAATGGTGGGGAGTTACGAATGTGATTTGGATTATAAGCTCTTGAAGAATATCTGCTTGATTGTTTCACTTTTGATTTATTATTTTTTGCATGCTTATCATAACAAATTAAAGCTATTGGCAAATGCTTGAAGATCTTGAAAATTATCTTACATGCACACTATTTAATTGCATCATTCATAATTAAGCACTACAATTTATTTATGTGCCATAATGCATCCAAATTCAGCTCCATTATCTATCTTTAAATATATATTTTTATTCCAATTATTGGAAACATAATTACAACTTCCAAATGTATGCAAGATAATGAAAAGATATGTACGCTAGCTCTTGATGAAAATGGTAGAGTATGCGTCATCCTCTCAAGCAATGCTAAAACTTGAAACATGAACCCCATCATAAACCATTCCATATTAGTTGGGGTAACACCATATCCTATCTATGAGAACTAGTTGCTATTAACCTTAGTAATTATGAAGAATCAATTTTGTGTGAAATCGTTCCAATGAATAAAATATATATCCTTCTAGGAAAGTCATTGATTTATGAAAAGAAAGTTATGTATAATAGTCTTAAGGATATATGGGTCTTTAAACATAAAATCAAGGCTATCAAGCATTTTCCTATCAATAAAGTAGAAAAATGAGCCCAACTTAAATCCCATGATTCTTATTTGCAGCAAAAACTTATCTAAACCAAAAATAGAAAATAATAAGTGATTCCTCCACCGACTTCACTGAAAGTTCCGCATTAAAAAAACAATAAATGAATCTTCAGAAGAGATTTTATTCCTGTGAAGGAGGACACACCGTGGTCTATTAAGGGTCGCATAAATACTTTGTTTACCTAACTTACCTGCTACACCACATAATGAATCAGATACTGAGCTAAATCATATTTTAGAGGCCTAAAACTAATTTTAGACACTTCTTCTGATATCCTAAGCTAGAACGTATCTTAGATATTTCTTCTTAGACCCCTATTTCGGACACTCCCTTGGACAATAATTATTCTAATGATACATTTCTTAGTGCTTTCTTTCAAGCGTTGTTTTATACATTTGCCTTCAGAAATGCACATATATATTGTGCTATTCAAATAACAATTTTGATACTCACTTTACTAAACTACATGATGATCTTGTCCTTTTGTGAAGGTTGATATAACTTTCCCACCAAAGACACATATATATTGTCATCTCAAATATTTAGCCTATTTGGAACTCACTCTTAGACTTATGGCCTTATCTAATATTGCTTGCTCCAATAATTTCGCCAAGTTGCAAAATACTATAGATGATCAATTTTTAAGACACCCTATGATGAGGACATCCGACCTTGGAGAGTTAACCAGAGGCGGGGCCGTCGATCTACGGCCACACTCACACCACTTTATTTTTTATTATCATTGTATTAGAATTATTTGTATTAATTTATTTTGTGTTATGAGTTATTATTGCATTTTTATTTATACCCTCACTTGAGGGCCTAGTCATGTGTAAGCCTGTTAGACCAATCCATTGGACTGGTCCAGCCTGTCCACGCAGGACCGGCCCAGGCGGAGAACGGGCGGAACATCTCCGCCTCTTCCGTCAGCCGCACGCACTCGATTCCTGAGAGCTCATTTTAGGACGGTTTTTGAATGGATTCTAGGAGGGAAATTGAATGTAGGGATCGTTTAGGGATTTCCTTTTGATTTGTATGCATTAAATGCTTGGTTTTCCTAGGGTTTGGGCATCTTGAATTTGGCTGAAATTGGAGATCTCTTAGATTTAGGTTTTCTTTGGGCTCTTGGCGTTGCCAGAGATTTGGGAGAGATCGATCCTCCTCTCGAATCGAGGATCAATTGTATCTTGCTATTTTATTCACCGTCTAAGTGGAATACAAGTCTTTACTTGAGTTTTCTCTTAGATTTTCCCAGACAAGTGCTGTTTTCCTGCTGTAAACAGCAGATTTCTGTTGTTTTCCTGCTGTGGACAACCATTTGGCTGCTGTTTGTTCGCCGATTTGGGTTATGTTTGCTTGCAAACTCAAGTATTACCTTAGGGTTACTTGTGAACTCAAGTATTTCCTATCAAAGCCCTAGGGGCAAGTTGGTCTTTTATTTTTCTCCATTGTATGACGCTATTTAAAAGCCACCTTCTCTTTTGAGACTAATGAAGATTATTACAAACAAATTCATGCACTTGTGTGATTTTGGAGAGCTTGAGAGTTCTTGGAGAGATTGAAGTCCCTAGGTGAGGGAATCAGATCATCCACCAGTCACAGGAAGCGTCCGGGCTCGTGGTTTCCTTCTCCTTTCTTCCTCCCCTTCTCCTTCCCCATCTACCACAAGCCGAACTACCTCCAACCCGCCAGCCAAGCACCTATCCCCTCCTCTTTCTCCCTTAAGCCACCAGCCCTACAAACCCTCTCCCTCACCCAACCGAAATCAAACCTCCCCTACAAAGTCCAATCGGCCACCCCTTCCCCACCTCCAAACCGCCAAAACCACACAAACCCTATCCCTAGCCGCTGGCCACATCTCCTTCCCCTAGCCTCCACAATTCAAATCCCTACATTGAATACCTTTCATATGTGACAAATCTTAAACTAGGAAAGTTTAATTTCATATTTCAAATCAATTTGAATTTGAAATTCTTTCCTAACTAAGATGATCTATTTTAGGAAAGTTACTTAAATCAAGACCAATTAAAATTCAAATTGGATTTGATTTAAATTACTTATTCCCTATTTGAGATTATTAATTAGGCGAGCCTTAACTCCTCTCCCCCAAGCCCACCCAAATCCCATGCATGCTGCCGGCCCTCCCCTCCTCTGAGAGCCTCAATTAATTCTCTCAATAAAGAAGATATTTTCTTTCCCTCCCCTTACTTGTAATTCAAATTTCAAAACCCTAATCCCCTCTTATTCAAATCTGAAATTCAATTTCAGATTTTGGAAGAGGCTTTCTCCTCCTAGTCTTGGCCGACCATCCGCCTCCTCTCTCTACCATTGTCCTTGGCTTGATACCTCACCTAAGGAATAAAGGAGGAAAGAAGCCACACCACCCCTTCTCCACACTTCACAAATTTCCTTGCCCATGCATGGCGGATCCTGAGCTTGACCACGGCTTTGTTTACAATGACCAAGGCCAAGTTGATATCCTCAACTTATCGTTCTTCGATATCAATCCAGAGGTTGATCAAACCGTAGAGAAATATGTAGAGAGGATCATCTTCACCCTCGCCGCCGCCATCAATGAACAACTCTCTTCCATCCAGTGGCAGATTGTTTCCAAATCTTGAGCAAAGTGACTCTCTCCTCCAAATATTTTCCTTTCTAAATCTTACCTTAACTTGTGGTCTTAGTTGATTCATAAAGGTTATGTTAACACCCTTCACTAAGCCTAGTAATTTAGAGAGTTGAGTGAGGAATCTATTTTCATAGTGACTAGTCACATTATTAACTTAGGGATTTGTCGTTGAAAATCTTTCATGTATGCTATACTTGAGTAATTAATTATTTTGTGATATTAACTTCTAGTTGTGTGACTTGACCTAAGCTAGTTTCACCCCTTTCTTGTTTTATTTAGTTCTTTAAATCACTACAAATCTTTTAGTTAATATTGCTCTCTAAATTAAAGCATGCAAAATTCTTAATTAACATCGCCTAGGCATTTAAGTCCTGCATCACCCTAAAATGGTTGAACTGATGCATTATTCGTTGCATACTTTTACATCATTATTAATACAACATTTTCATAGTCTCCATTTACATGTTTAATAACCATTCCACATAAATAATGACAAGTATATTATGGATACTTTTCAAAAACAATTATTCATGTGCATATAATAATATTGTTTATGCATCATATCACATTTATTTCCCTAATTGTACAACTAATAAATGCCTAGGATTTAATGGTTACCGTTTGAGTTTGCCTCATAACATTATTTACACTCTTTCTTCCATTATTGTTAATATTTTACCGCTTACAGGATTGAAAAAGCATTGAGATTAGACAACTAACCCACTTGTAGTAGAAATGGGTCCACTTCTACAGTAGTTTTCATTTTTAGATTTCTTAGCACCTACAGACATTATACAACATGTTATACTTATAGCTATGGACACTCCGTCACCCTTATAGAGACACGAAGTATTAACCCTTTCACTTCAAAGCAAAATTTTAACCATGTGGAGCAAACTGCATCAAGTGGAGGAGAATTAATGCAGGACAATCACTTCATGTAAGAAGGCCAATTATAAGATCACAAATATGAGAAAATTACTTTATTAATTATGTGATCATGTAATTAATGCAAGCACTTCATTAATTATGTAAGCTAGTTAATTTAAACAAATTAATTTATTTAGTAGATGACTGGAGCATCCATTAAGCAATTAATTTGAAGCATTAAAAGAGACCTTTCATCTTTTCAAATGAAGTAAGTAACAAATAATTAGAAATGGTGAGCTGCATTTCAAGAAGTACTGAATGATGCCTAGTTACAAGATCATCATTATAACCATCATCAAAGTGGTGACTTGATAAACATTCAAGAAGGATTTTTACAACAACAACAACAACATCAAGCATTTATCCCACTATGTGGGATCGGCTACATGAATCCTTTTTCTCCATTGTGTCTTGTTAAGAGTCAAATTATTATTTAGATTTAATAAAAAAATCATTTCTAATATTTTATAACCAAGTCTTTTTAAATCTACCTCCACGTTTCTTAATATAGGTCAAAATATAATATATCTACTCTCCTAACCGAGTCATCGGAAGGTTAACATTTTATATGTCCAAACCATCTAAGCCGACTCTCTCTAATCTTATCTGCCACTGGAGCTACTCCAAACTTTTCACGTATATACTCGTTTCACATTCTATCTCTAAGAGTGAAGCCACTCAACCACTTAAGCAACCTCATCTTTGCAACACTTAACTTACTTTTATGCTTCGCTTTTAATGACCAACATTTTGCACCATAAAGTATTGCAAGTCCCACCACCATTTTATAGAATTTTTCCTTAAGTTTGAGGGATACTTTTCTGTCACACAAAAAGCCCAATGCATTCCTCCACTGTAACCATCCAACTTGAATTATACTAATAATATCATCATCTACTTCACCATCACTTTGAAAATGGACTCGAGATATCTAAAACGTGTGCACTTATTAATGACTTGGTCGCCCAAAGCTATAATCTCCCCACTAGATCTAATACTACTAAAATTACATTCCATGTATTCGGTTTTAGATCTACTCAAACAAAAACCTTTAGACTCTAAGGCTGACCTCCATAATTCAAGTTTTCCTTCAACTCCCTCTCTAGTCTTATCAATAAGAAGAATATCATCATTAATACACCAGCGTAAGAACATCCATGACTAAAGCAAAAATATATGGGCTTAAAGCTGATCCTTGATGTAATCCAACCAAAATAGGAAAATACTTGGTCCAACTACCTTGTGTTTGAACACAAGTAACAAATCCTTCATACATATCCTTAATGATTTGAATATAAGCATTATTAACTCTTTTCTTTTCTAGAACTCTCCAAATCACTTCTCTTAGAACTTTATCATATGTTTTCTATAAATCACTAAATATCATATGTGGATCCTCCTTATTCTCTCTATACCTCTGTTATTCTCTCTATGCTTCTCCATCAAACCTCTCAATAAATGTATAGCTTCCATAGTAGCCCCATCTGGCATGAATACAAATTGATTTTAAGATACATTAGTAACCTATGTTCAATAACTCTCTCTCATAGTTTATGTATGACACATCAACTTAATTCCTCAATAATTCGCACACTCTTGTGCATCACTTTTATTCTTAAAATTAAGAATCAACACACTATTCTCCACTCATCTGACATCTTTTTAGTATTTAAAATAATATTGAAAATTTTTGTAAACCAATAAATTCTTTTATCTCCCAAGCATTTCCATACCTCCAACAGCTTTTTTACATCTCATTTTCTTTAAAGCCTCTCTAACCTTGATTTTACTAATACGACGATAAAAAAATAAATCTTTATTTTCATTGAGGGTGCTAAAACCATTGAATTCAATCTTATTCTCATAATCTTCATTAAAAAACTTATCAAAATATCTCATCCATTTTTGTTGAATATCATCTTTTAATAAAAACACTTTTTTATTATCATCTTTAATACATTTCATTTGAATTTGATTATATTTGTGTTGGGTTATTTTTGGGGTGGAGACAAACTTGACCCAAATGGACACCCCTACATGCAATATTGACCTTCCTTCACACATCCCTATAACACCTTCGACTTTCCGGCGCAAAGTTCAAGTGGAGGAGAATTGACGCATGACAATCAAATGAAAGTCCAAACAGGTCAATTATAAGAGAACAAATAGAAGGAAATTAAGTAACATATTTCATTAATAGAAAACAACCATGTAATTAATGCAACTACTTCATTAATTAAGTACGCTAATTAAAATTAAAGTAAGATAGTTCATTTAGGTATTTAGTAAATGCTTGGGATTCGTGCCCAGAATTAATTTCGAAAGTTTTCTCTTCAATTTTGCCTTGAGATTCGTGCCCGATCAAGATAATTTTTTGATGATATATCACTGATAATCTGATTTCAACATATAAATATACAACTTTTACTATAGCCTCCTAGTTCTGCATCAGTAAAACAGTCTCATAGTTTTTTACCAACTCCCACAATATATCATGTGATATATGAGACTTAAGCATGCTTTATAGAATTGGGTGTTGGGACAAACAAAGGAGGCAATTTTCTATGTAACACTTAAATTTTGGTTATAGTACTAACACCACTTAACTCCATTCATTAAATTCTCAATAATTTGATCGCAACAGGCACAAAGTATATAAGCTTGTTGATTCAATTTATTTTCCTGGGAATTAGGTTTGTATATACATTGATTTGAGTGGCATGGGTGTAAATCTCCCAAAAAAAATCCCAATTTATTGTGGGAGATTAGGAATGAAGTAGTGCCTTAGTTTAATCCAATGTCCTGTTATTCAAAAACGTCACGTGGATACAAGATTAATAGGGGCAAAATCCCACAAGCTGCCGCAGGCATATGATGATGGGAAAATTATTGGATTTGGACACCGGACGACATCCGGAGGCCAATGAAAAAACACCACATCACTCCCTACTCGGTACTAAGCTCTATATGAGCTCGGTACTGCTCGGTACTGTGAAGTACCGAATTCTGTACTTCACAATACCGAGTTCAGTATTACAGTACCACAGTACCGAACAGTAAGCTGTGTCCGGTGTCCGAACCCAATAATCTCTCATGATGAAGGGCTATTAACCGCTGTGCATGAGGCTACTGTGGTCCACACACTATGATGCCCTACTAATTTGTAGCTGCTTTTCCATAATTATTAGGCATATAAATAAGCCGAGGCCTAAAGGAAACAAGTGATTAATTACCTCAATTCGACACAATATTCGGTGAAATCAATTGTAGGGTCCACAAAACCAATATACGCTAACAAACACTTTAATGAAGCGCCATCGAAGGATCTACGGTTCAGTAATTGAAGAAAAATTATTGAAAAAATTTATATTTCAAAACTAGTTGAGCTGCATATTAATTTACTGTGTAATAAAATCACAGAGCATAGAATGAAGAAGAAGGGAAGAAGACATGAACGATGTGGGAAGGAAGAAAAGCGTTTCCATCATTAAATTTCTATTTGTCAAAGCAGCTGTAATTCATTTCTTTATATAAAGGATAATCTGTACACAGGTACAGAGATGGTTAGACAAGTAATGATTTATTATGCAGGGACGGCATAGATGACCTAGGAGGTTTTTCATTAACGTTCGAGATGGGCTCACAGGACGCTGACTCTCCACCTAGCGTATTCCATTGTGTGAAGAGTGCCTGTCACTATTATCATTATTAAAACTCAATTTACCCCCATAAAAAACAAAATCAAATGAGATAATTGCCATAGAAACCACGCTCAATAATTGAGCGGGGCACGCTACCTGGGCCCATGCTAACCTCACACCAATGGACTGAAAGTTCGGTCAAGAGCCCGGGGCCCCGGACACCTACCTAGGGAATTCCAGCAATATTTATCAATACAATAAGCAGGGTTTCTGCACCGAATCACATCCACCACACCGTCACCATTCGCCGTGTGTCAACTCAAATCAAATACGGCACTAAGTCTCAACAGGCCATAAATCAATATACTATTACGCTGTGATTTCGGTATGCTAGCATTCAAACAGAAAATCCCTACCTCGTCCCATGAGATGAACAAGAATAAACTCACCAGATCGAAAGAATCGGCTCGATTCCACTGCGTCAAGAGCGGGATCGGGCCGGCGGCGCGGTAGATTAAGGTGAACGAGAGGCCGAACGCAATCAGGAAGATCAGCGGCACCGGAAGACGCCGGAGGATGCTGGATTCCGGCCGCACCGGCTTAGCCGCCTGGCTCACATCAACGGAATGTACCGTGACGCCGTTCGGAGCAGGCTGCATTGAGAAACACGGCTAAGGTGTACCGAGGAGTGGCGGCATAAGGGTTAGGTCATGATTTATAGAAAGATGAAAGGAAAGCGAGAGGGTAGAGGCTATGGGGAGCGAAATTTTGAAAGGTATTGGCGAACAGAAGAAGAAGAAATCAACACTGAAAAAGTTGGACATGCTCAAGTCTCCGTAGGCGGCCATTGACTTCATAATGCTGGAAGCATCGGTCTTTGATTGGCGGGCTCGTTGAGAGCGCATTAAAATTTTAGCTTGTAACGATTAAGAATGGATCAACATCTAAATTAATACGCAGATCACCATAATTTGTTGGTGCAAAATTTGGACTAACTTAAAAAAATTTTGATTCGAAATTTATGTAAATGCTGTGTGTTTGAGTTAGAATTTTATTATTATTATTATTGTTGCATTCTGGAATATTTGAGGCGATAGAGAAATATAAAGTTTAACGTTTTAACTTTGTACGAAGATCCAGTACACAATCAAATAAAAAAGAGGATGCAGCATTTATAAGAGATATCAAAATTTTTACGTCAAAAATCCTAAAAAAGAAAAAAATCATAGGGTCTAGCGCAGTTTGAATGAATCCATGGTATTTGCAGTTAGTTAATTACAAATTAGGCCATTCATTGGAAGGAATGCATTTGCTTGATGTAACAAATATACATCATATAGAGTGTGTTACATTGTGGAAATAGAAAGAATCACTGTTGACGTGTTCTTTTGATCGGAAGGATCATAGTTGGTGGGCAACGAAGGTCGGAAGGACTATAGTCGACGGGAGATGGAGATTGGAAGGACCATAGTCCGCATGGGATGAAGGTCAGAAGGATCGTAAATGGAGGTCAATAAAATCACTGTCTGGCGACAGAGTTTAGAAAGATCGTAGTCAGCGGGTGACGGAGGTCGGAAGGACGTTTTTTTGTGACAGAGGTCGGAAGGACCATAGTCGGCGGGCAACAGAGGTCGGAAAGACCGTTGTATGGCGACGGAGGTAGGAAGGATGGCGTCGGGTAAAAATCCTGCGATTAGCGGATATCCGACGTCTGGTAGAAGTCTGGCGAAGGGTGGAGGTTCGACATCGGATAGAAATTCGGCGACAGACGAAAGTTTGACGTTGGGTAGAAGTCAGTCGATAAATAAAAGTCTAACGTTAAATAGAAGTTTGACGAAAGTCTGGCAACTGTCAGAAGTATGACATTGGGTAGAAGTCTGATGTCGAGTAGAAATTTGGTGGCGAGTGGAGGTACGGCATCAAGTAGAAGTACGGTGACGAGCGGAGGTTTGACATTGAGTGAAAGTTCAGCTTCAGGTACAAATCCGGCGACGAGTGTAAGTCCGGCGTTTGGTAGAAATCTGACGACGAGCAAAGGTCTAGCGTCAGTCGATAACTAGACAAAAATCTAGCCTCACTTGGTGGTCGGGTAGATATCTGACATCAGTTGGTGGCCGGGCAGAAATCAGGCGTCCGTTAGAAGTCAAGAGAAAGTCCGGTGATAGTTGGTGGCCAAGCTGAAGTCTGGCGGTGGTCGAGGAGTCTGGTGGCAGAGAATTTTTCCTTCTCTTCTTGCTTAGACCTCCTTTTTCCTCCCCCATTGGGAGGGGGTCCCTTTCTACGAGAAATGAGTGGTCTTTTATAGTTTTTTGAGAGTGGCATGGCCAATAAGTGGTTAGAATGGATGATCGATGTTGAATATCTTGATCACGGACCGTTTATTAGACATTTGAATACCTTAGTGATGTTAGAATTTGACAATATTGGGCTCATTGTATTCGCCTCGTCGAGCCGCTCGATTCGATTATAAGCATGTCATGTTTGAAAATTGATTGGTAATCTGAATTATGGATTGAGCCTTTCAAATGTGCTTTGGGTCTTTTATTTGGACTTATTTGAGCTCAAATTGAGTCGAAGGTGTCGTTGGGTTTGTATTTTCGAGACGTTCAGTTCAGCTATAAGTTCGCTTAAATCAGAGTTCAGATGATCTCCAATTTAATTTTGGAAGTTTCCAACTTGATTTTGTCTAAAGATTCATGCCCGATCAAGATAATTTTTTATGATATATCAATTGCATTCTATTTTCGGATGTTGAAGCCTATATAGTCTGAAAATATATATCACATCATTTTTTAAATTGGTCAAATCATAAAAAATGCCAGAAAATTGCATTCCAAAACATTTAAAATAGCCAAATATTGATTATAGAAGCTTTGTTGAGCTTCAAAAGTGCTAAAATTAAGTTTGGAACGTCAAAAATGGTGGGGCGAATAGGGAGTGGTCAAATGGACGGCCGATATTGAATCCTATGACCGTTCACCGTTCGTTGGCCATTTGGAGGCCTTAGTGATGTCGAAATTCTGTGATCTTGGGCTCGTTGGATTCGTCTCGTCGAGCCCTTCGATTCAAGTATAAGCTCGTCAAAATCGGAGTCCGTTTGGTAACTCAAATTGAAGTTTGAACCTTCCAACAGCACTTTGAGCCCTTGATTCAGACTCATTTGGGCTCGGATTGGGTTGAATTTGGTGTCGTTGGATTCGTATTTCCGAGATGCTCAGTTTGACTGTAAGCTCGCTGAAATCGGAGTTCAGGTGCTTCCGGATTTAATTTTTGAAGTTTCCAACTTGATTTTTGCCTCGAGATTCGTGCCCGATCAAGTTAATTTTCGCATGACGTATCAGATCTAGTACACAATCAAATAAAAAAGAGGATGTAGTATTTATAAGAGATATCAAAATTTTTACGTCAAAAATCCTAAAAAAGAAAAAAATCATAGGATCTAGCGCAGTTTGAATGAATCCATAGCATTTGCAGTTAGTTAATTACAAATTAGGTCATTCATTGGAAGGAATGCATTTGCTTGATGTAACAAATATCATATAGAGTGTGTTACATCGTGGAAATAGAAAGAATCAATGTTGACGTGTTCTTTTGATCGGAAGGACCATAGTTGGTGGCGACGAAGGTCGGAAGGACTATAGTCGACGGGAGACGGAGGTTGGAAAGAACATAGTCCGCGGGGGACGAAGGTCAGAAGGACTGTAGACGGAGGTCAATAAAATCGTTGTCTGGCGACAGAGTTCAGAAAGACCGTAGTCAGCGGGCGACGGAGGTCGGAAGGACCGTTTTTTTGTGACAGAGGTCGGAAGGACCATAGTCGGTGGGCGACAGAGGTCGGAAAGACCGTTGTATGGCGACGGAGGTAGGAAGGACGTTGTCGGGTAAAAATCCTACGATGAGCGGATATCCAACGTCTGGTAGAAGTCCGACGAAGGGTGGAGGTTCGACATCGGATAGAAATTCGGCGACAGGCCGAAGTCCGACGTTGGGTAGAAGTTAGTCGATAGATAAAAGTTTGACGTTAAATAGAAGTTCGACGAAAGTCTGGCAACGGACATAAGTATGGCATTGGGTAGAAGTCTGATGTCGAGTAGAAATCTGGTGCCGAGTGGAGGTACGACATCAAGTAGAAGTATGGCGACGAGCGGAGGTTGGACATTGAGTGGAAGTTCAGCGTTAGGTAGAAATCCGACGATAGGCGTAAGTCCGGCGTTTGGTAGAAATCTGACGACGAGCAAAGGTTTAGCGTCAGCCGATAACTAGACAGAAATCTAACCTCACTTGGTGGTCTGGTAGATACCTGACATCAGTTGGTGGCCAGGCAGAAATCAGGCGTCCGTTAGTAGTCAGGAGAAAGTCTGGTGATAGTTGGTGGCCAAGCTGAAGTCTGGCGGTGGTCGAGGAGTCTGGTGGCAAGAGAATTTTTCCTTCTCTTCTTGCTTAGACCTCCTTTCTCCTCCCCCATTGGGAGGGGGTCCCTTTCTACGAGAAATGAGTGGTCTTTTATAGTTTTCTGAGAGTGGCATGGCCAGTAAATAGGAGGAAGATCAAGAGTAAATTATGAGTGGTTTGAATGGATGGTCGATGTTGAATATCTTGATCATGGACCGTTTATTAGACATTTGAATACCTTAGTGATGTTAGAATTTGACAATATTTGGCTCATTGTATTCGTCTCGTCGAGCCGCTCGATTCAATTATAAGCATGTCATGTTTGAAAATTGAGTGGTAATCTGAATTATAGATTGAGCATTTCAAATGTGCTTTGGGTCTTTTATTTGGACTTATTTGAGCTCAAATTGAGTCGAAGGTGTCGTTGGGTTTGTATTTTTGAGACGTTCAGTTCAACTGTAACTTCGCTTAAATCAGAGTTCAAATGATCTCCAATTTAATTTTCGAAGTTTCCAACTTGATTTTGTCTAAAGATTTGTGCCCGATCAAGATAATTTTTGATAATATATCAATTGCATTCTATTTTCGGATGTTGAAGCCTATGTAGTTCGAAAATATATATCACATCATTTTTTAAATTGGTCAAATCATAAAAAATGCCAGAAAATTGCATTCCAAAACATTTAAAATAGCCAAAAATTAATTATAGAAGCTTTGTTGAGCTTCAAAAGTGCCAAAATTAAGTTTGAAACGTCAAAAATGGTTCCAGGGACCCAAAAAACGCCTGTTTTTTACTGTTTGGGTCGAAAATCAGTCCTGAACTCACTTTGGCGGCCGGCTAGCCGCAAACCGCTACGTCGGCAAAATGGCCCACGTGTTGGAGATGGCGAAGCAGAAATCCTGCAATGGGAGGAAGTCCAACGTTGGGTAGAAGTATGTCGATGGACAGAAGTCCGACATTAGATAGAAGTATGACGAAGATCCGACGACGGGCAAAAGTCTGGCATCGAGTAGAAGCCCGGTGTCTGATAGAAATATGACGATGAGCAAAGGTCCGACATCGGGTAGAAGTTTGGCGACAGGTGGAGGTCTAGCATCGGGTGGAAGTCCTGCGTCGGGTAGAAATTCGACAACTGACGGAAGTCTTTGATTTGGACTCATTTGAGCATGGATTGAGTTGAATTTGATATAAATATATTATATTATATTAATTTTATTAATTTTTAATAATATTATTAATTATTGCATCATCCGGTTCGACCGGTTGAACCATGAACCTCTCCTTCCGGTTCGTTGTCCGGTCTGATTTTCACAACCTTGTTTTTTACCTCCCTTTGAGGATAGTTGAAATCCAACCATAATATGCTAGAGTTTTGGGCCTTAAAATCTTAGCAATCATATCTCCTTAAGCTAATTGGTTACATATTATCAAAACCTAACCATTCTTGAAATTTTTGAGTTTGACCAAAGAAAACCTTCTTTTGTCTTGAAATCTATAAACTAAACTAAACCCTAGGAATCTTGATGGCTTTGAAATGTATGAGCTTAGCTATAATCTAAAATAAATGTAGTACCTTAAAATGTATATAGGTTTACTCAAAATAATCCTAGCCAACCTTGAAATTCATGTGATAGTGCCTTGATTAAGATGACCATTAAGGGATGTACTTGTTGTAGTTGATAGCTAAAATGTTTTATTAATTATTAGAGAAGTGGTAATGGTGTG